AATTTATCAGGAAAAATGGAGGAGAGGGGGGGAATCCCAAGAGATGGGGGCGCGGAGAGCCGGCCTATCTGGGGGAAGGACTCTGTGGGGACACAGTGGCCTACTGGGTGTGGCTCTCTTCTATTCTCTGGTTCCCTTAGATAAGCACAGCAGTTTTGTCATTCTCTCCCTCTCCTTCCACAGTCCGGCCAGTCCTGGTCCCACGCTTTGGAAGCATATCAATGTGGGAGAACATACCACCCAAGCAGCTTTGCTCATGGATCTCTAAGTCCCAAAAAGACTTAGCAAAGTCCATCCTGATCGGGGCTCCAGGAGGTAAGAAGGGGAGACAGAGGCCATTGAACAGAGGGGGAAATGAGGGTGGAAACGAGGAGTGGGGCTAGAGAGTATAACGATCCATATCGGCTGCTGGTTAAGAGGGATTCGGGAGGATCTGTGTTCATCAGAGTCTCCCGTGTGTTAAACATGGACCCTGGGCTGGGGCTCTTGTCCAGGGGCTGTAGGCAGGCCAGAAGGAAGCCTGCAGCATGGGAGCCACGGGGCACTCCCGTGGTTCCTGGACTCTGGCCCCTGGCACACAGGGCTTCCCATGGAAGGGAAGACGCTGGTGACACTTTAACCAGTCTGATCCCCAGCCCAGCCAGGCCTCATGCCTCTGACAGCCCGGAAGTGTGGAGCAGACCCGTAGAGAAGGGAAGGTGTGCAGTGGCATGGAAGGTGCGGCTGGGAGCGGGGATCCCCTGGGCTGGGCTCGGTCAAGCTACAGGGTCCTGGAGTAGCATTGAGGGTGATGGGGAAACTCAGAGTGGGGTGTAGGGAAGCCAGCCAATTGCCAGGGGTTGGAAGAAGGAAACAAAGACGTTTGGAGAGAGAGCTGGGTGATTCTGGGCCTGTGTAATGAGGGGCCACTGTGGGCTAGACATCTAGGTGGGTTGAGGCTGAAGTCAGCAGCTGAAGGGCAAGAATTCCAGGGTTGTAAGGGGTCAGTACAGCTGGGTGGTCAAGAACTCGAGCCTAGAGTTAGTCAGACCTAGATTTGAATCTGTTACTCAGAAACTGTATGATCTTGGGCAATTTATTTCATCCTGTAAAATCAGGATAATCATAGAGCATGTAAAATAGTACCTGCTTTACAGGATGCTTGTGACTTAATAAGGTAATGTATGCATGATGCCCAGCTTACAAGAGGGGCTCAAGACAAACTGGAGAGCGGAGGGAAGGCACAGAGGGTATGCTGAGATGAAAGCATGGGAGGAAAGGTGGGAAGGCAGGTGCCATGCAGCCTCTGCGCCCCCTTCTACTGCAGGGCCGGCGGGGTATCTGCGGCGGGCCAGTGTGGCCCAACTGACCCAGGAGCTGGGCAATGCCTTCTTCCAGCAGCAGCAGCTGTCAGCCGCCATGGCAGACACCTTCCTGGAGCATCTCTGCCTGCTGGACATCGACTCTGAGCCCGTGGCCGCTCGCAGCACCTGCATCATTGCCACCATCGGTAAACACTACCCACCCTGCAGCTCACAGGGCCTCTTCTCTGTTTCTCTAGGTGCTTCCTCATGTTTTGTCTCCTTTGAGACTTCTCCATGTTTGACCAGGTCATTCATTCAACAAATATTTGTTGAGTACCTGGTAGACAAGGTTTTCAGCCCTGGGAGTAGATCAGTGAAAAAAACCAGACAAAAATCCCTACCCTTGGGGAGCTGATAGTCTAGCTGAGGGTGATAACAAATAATATGTATAATAAAT